TATGTCATTATGCAATATGCATTTGCCACCAAAAAGCACATACATAAATTTCACTGCTTTAGATAACCAAACATAAAACTAAATGACATCTACAAACAAATTATTCCAGACCTTTTCTCAGAACTTGTCTGAGTGTCTGATAACTTACAATGTAACGTATTTAAGTGTGGATGAGCTGTCCTAATGCTTTGTTGGGTCTCCGTCTTAGTATTTGTAGATAAAAAGTGTTGTAAACATCTTATATTAGGACCTACAAGTATTTTCCCGTGTTTTAACAGAATGTCAATCATGGCGTTTGCATCTGAGTCACCGGAGAAAGTAGGGCTTGGCATACTATTCTCCCAGGAAGAGTCAATCTGCAAGGTTAATGATTACATAGATTCATTAATAATGGTACAAATAAAAGCACTATATAAAACATATTATAGTGTACATATTATGTATATATATATATATTGTTGGGTCTCCGTCTTAGTATTTGTAGATAAAAAGTGTTGTAAACATCTTATATTAGGACCTACAAGTATTTTCCCGTGTTTTAACAGAATGTCAATCATGGCGTTTGCATCTGAGTCACCGGAGAAAGTAGGGCTTGGCATAGAACTTAAAATCTTCCCCCTGGATGTTGATGTCAAACTCAGATGTTCTGGTGTAGGGTACACGAATAACCACAGTAAGGAAATCAGCATCTTGACTCAGTTCAAACGCCGGTGTTATCATGATTACATATGGTGAAGTACTGCAGCAAAAGACAGAAAAACACAAACAGTTACTCAGACATCTCAAACTGGTCAGCAGGGGTAAACAAGGCTAAAGGAATGCTAATACAATGTTATTATAAATTGTAACCAGTCCTAATGTTACTAAACAAGATCAAGAGGTTCATTTGTGGAAAAAAAAAAGTGAAAATATTATTTTGTTATATTATGTTACTTTATCAATCATGTTATTTCGGCAGGTTTCACTGATAAAAAAAATAACTGAGCACAATCATCACAGATTACAGTTAACATAGATTCCCATTACTTGGACTGTGCGCAAATCTCTAAAAGTTACTACTTGGCACTGCAATAAGAAGTAAAGACTTTATAAAGTCTATATAGTCCGTACTCAAATAGATATTTGAGAAGTAACGTTAGAAAGAATTGAGCAGCTTACAACTCCACCTTGTGGTTACTCAATTTGAACCCAAATGAGACATAAACAACCCATTTGCCGACTAGCACACGATAAACCTCTTGATTTATTTGATTAGTTTCAAATTAAACTTTACTCTATTTCATCACAACACTGTTATTCACCAATTAAGACTGAAAGTATTAAGGACTAAAATAAAAGAACACCTTGTTAAATGTCATCCAAGTATCCAAAGTCGCTATGCTAATATGATACGTGCACACAGGATAAAACCAAACCCAAAATAATAAATGATAGCTAAAACCCAACGCAGATTAGAAGCTGTCAAAAGTCTGCCGATGTTGTTTGTACACGCAATGTTAAAGCCAACATAAAACAGACAAGACCATGCACTATTTAATACTTTTACGTTTTCAAATGGTATAGTACGATTTAAATAAGGCAACTGCAAAAAAAAACAAAAAAAACATTATAAAACAAAACTGATACCTTCACATCTCTTCTGTAAAGACTGCTATGCGCTAAACAACATCAGTAGCACAAATGCAGCACATGGACTGCTTCCTGCTCTCTGGACTGGCCATGTTTTACCGTAATGCCACATATAAGGAGGACTACAAAGAATTTTCACTGGAATACTACATGGTAAAGATGAATGATTAAATACATTAATGTAATTTCAAATATTTATCAATCAAATTCAATAAATCAGTATTGTGTACACATGGAAACTGCAGTCAAAATGGATTTCTACAAGTTAATAAAGAAGAAAAATGAATATAATATGAATTAAAAAAATAAACAAGTATATAATAAATAAATATAAAAATGCAAAACAAAAAATTACATTTACATTTACATTTAGTCATTTTGCCGACGCTTTTATCCAAAGCGACTTACAATTGGGGAATACATAAAGCGATTCTTCTTAAAGAGGCAAACAGACACAGGAAGTGCTTCAAATATCAAGTTTTAGGCATTGTTCAAATAAGTACAAGCTAGAAAAGGGAAGGAATAAATAAAGAACTTTTTTTTTTTTTTTTAAGATGAAATCAAGTAGCGTTTAAAGAGATGAGTTTTCAGCTGTTGCTTGAAAATTGTCAGGGATTAATTTTCTGATTTGAACAGTCCCTTCAGCAGATTATTTTTTAATCGAGAAACTGATCAGAAGTGTGAACCAATAGCTACACTTGAACATACAATGCTGCAATATATAAAAATAACATTATTATGTCAGACACTGTTAATATCCTCCTGGCAACTAGCTAGACATGGCTATATATAAAATATAATAATGTAATACGATAAATATGAACAAATATGTTTCATATAATATGGACAAACATAATAATTATGTAAAAAAATAAACACCGGAAAAGTATTTATAATAATATTATTATTATTATCATTATTTTTATTTTTTTATTTTTTTTTACACCAGTAAGGTATTACGGTTTTATGTCAGGAGTATTACAAGTATTACGGTAAGGAGTGTAAGGTCCGCCTTCAGAGATTCATTTACGTGTCTGATATCGGTGCTAAGCTGAGCAGCATCGTCTTCATCATCACAGTACAAATGAAGAAGTATGGCTGCACACTACAAATATGTCCCCGTGTTTTAACCAGAGCCATGGTTAAAACATTTCCAAGCGGACAGAACACTTTTTCACCATGAGGATCCACTGCAAGGTTGTGGCGATCGCGGTATGTTTCGGAGTTTTTCTACTTTTGTACTTTTTCTGGGGGAACGCTACGGACGAGCCGCCGCTGAAGGAAGTTGCGAAAGAAAAACATTTTCAATCCTTCAGTCATATCGAGGATATAGCACCGGCGAATGAAGCGAAACAAACCAACGAAGAGCCACAAAAGCCACCGAAACTAATCCGCAAAGAGCCGAAGTTGAGCGGCAGAGGAGGAGGAGGGAATGTCATCGCAAAGACTCGGTAGGAAATTCTTCAAGTGCAACATCATGATCAACAACCAGTTTGATGCAAAGCAGGATGTATAAATATGTGTTTCAAGTTGTCAAGATGTAGTCAAGCGTTTTAATATAATATAACACGGGTTTTTCTTATACTGGAGTTGATATATAGGCATCCTTTCAACTCCCTTCTGTGCACATGATCAGTGCTTTAGTTTCTTAAGGGCATTTATGACCTCAGTGTGATTTGCAATCTCTACAAATCAGTGCAAATGCATGATTTAATAAAAACCCATAAATCATTGACCTTATCCCGGATGTCAGTCCAACCAGACAGTCTTGTCAAAAGCCTGCTTTGGCAATAGAGATTTAGGCAAGAATGTCTTGAACTGATTGTGCAATCTTAGGTTTCTTAATGTAACAAGGAAACCATGCATGACATTATTTTTGCACTACCCACATCCAGATTACTAAATCTTACCAGAAACCAGTGTGCACTGCGCATGCTGCAAAGCCAAGTCCAAGAGCCCCCTGTGTGCATCTCAGCCACAATTATCTCAATTGTATTTTCATTATGGCTTTATTGAAAAGGTCACCTTGAATGCAGATGCCTCGTTCCCAAAGGGTCTCAACAGAGGACAAAATCAATGATTGGTTGTGCTGAGTGAGTGAACACGGTCCCTTGTGAGTGGAGGATGGAGCAGTTTATTCATCAAGATGATCCGCCCTTTCCGAGACATAATTAAAATGAGCTGTCACATTCATCCTTTAAGTGAACTGAAGATTGGTTCATTTGTGTCAGTATTTTGATAGTGTAAAATCAATAATGTCAAGGTTGGCGAACTATAGATAGATGTCTTTTTTATAGTGTAAAATCAATCCTGCATTCCTTTCAGCAAGCATATGTTATCACCCTTCTGACAGCTTCACATAAACGCCACTAATTGCATTTGTGAGATATCTCAACCCTTTGACCCTCCTGTTGTGTTTCCAGCAGTGATCCGTCTTGATGTCCACACCCCTGTGAATGCTCTCTGCTGATAAACCCACAATGCAAAGGGCCAACGCAGCCACAGGGAAATTAGTTAAACAGATCCACTGTACAAACAAGAGGGATGAGAGGGTGTGATTTGGAAAACGCTCTACGTGTTTAATTCCTGGCTCCCTATCCATCTCCACAGAGGAAGGAGGAGGGGTGAAACCGTCTTGTCTCGAATGACTTGTTGTTTTATTTGGAAGTGATTAACTCTTCCGCACGTTTTTACTTTTTTAAGCGCATCCTCCAGACGTGCTTCCTGCCTCACTACTGCAAAACAGACAAATGTGTCCCTGTTGATATGTTTCATCACGAACAGGGGGCCCGGAGGGTCTGTTTTGACACAAGAGCTCTAACAAACACAAACCTTTTGATCCCAATCTCTAATTTCTATATTTTTATTAAAAAGAATAGTGAAAATTCCTTCATGTGCGCAACCTCATGTCATACCAAACCTGTATGAAGATATTTTGAAGAATATGGAGTGGTACAGAGAAGACATAATTTTATAGGCCAAAACTCAGACTATGCATTTTAGCACTTCTGGTTCTATCATCCTGAAGTCAATGGGTTTTTGGTTAAAACTCATGATACTAAGCTCATGATATTTAAAAAAAAAATTCTATAATAAAAAATATATAAGTAATACCTGCATGTTAGAATTGTGCTCTTGCAAACTATTATAATTTTCAGGAATTTTTTTTTTTTTTAAGGGGTCATATGATGCGATTTCAAGTTTTCCTTTCTCTTTGGAGACGGAAGATTAATGGTAGTGACATTAAAGTCATTTTACTTTTAGGGATTGTGTTAAGGCTTACTTTCATGAAAGTTGTGTTCATTTGTGAAGATTATCATGATGAAAAAAACGTAAGAATCATAAACTTTTCTTGGCCACTGAGCTTATTTTCTGCAATTATCCAAAAGCCAATGAAAAAATCCTTTTAGGTTTTTTGTCAAGGGAACCATGGTGATGTGAGCTTCTGGGTTGGCCTACAAAAATACGTCATCACTGCAGCACTTTTTTTTAAAAACTGTTTTAGTCTAAATAACATTGACCACCATTGGCTTTCATTGTTTGGACACTGTATGGGCATTTTTCTAAGTATCTTCTTTTTATTCCAAAGAGCAAATAAAGTCATACAGGTTTGGAATGACATGATGGTCGGAAAATGTTGACAGAATTTTCATTTTTGGGTGAGCTGTTCTTTTAATGCAACTACGTCAAATGACACTGAAGTAACAAGCATGCAGCTGTAAATTCACGTTTCTTTCACACCCTTTCACAAAGGAAAGGGTCTGCATTACTGGAAAGCTGTTTGCTCATAACACCTCTCTTGTGTTTTTCCAGAACCGCAAAACACCACTTGCACACGTTCCTGCAGCACCTAGGAATAAGTGTCTAAAAGAATAGCTCGCTCTGTCATCTGTAATGCAGCTATGACTAAAGGCAACTGCCGCGTGGCAGCTACATTATATGAAGCCATAAACATGTCATGGAGGAAGACTAAGAGGCCGCCATTTGTGTGTGTCTCTCTAGCCTCTTTTTTATCATAGATTCTATACGAAACACCGATATCTCTCCATTGTTACCCTCGCCTCTCAATGAGTTTATTCCTCCCCTGCGATCTTTATCTTCTAGCCTGGAGCACACTAGCATTTCACTTCAGGTTTTAAAGTCAGGGTGCCATGGAACAGCTGGCTCTGCCAGGATAGGTATGCAGACATTCGGAAGAGGGGGAAAAAGTGCTAATAATTTGGACGTAGATTATGGAGTGTGGTGCGTAGCTCTAGGAAAAGCACTGGCTGATTTCCATACACTCAGCCTTGTGGGGCTGGATTCAATTAGCCATCATATTCGTTCTGAATATGCTTTTTTGGTCTACCTAATCTGTCAGAATAGTATTTCTATTATTTTTTGTAATGCATTTTTGTTTGTTTGTTTCCAAAAGGAAACTTTGAAACGATTTGTTAGCCTAAGATGAATTGAAATTATGCTGCACTTCACGCTGGATTGTGGGATTGTGGGAAGCCTTGGTGATTTGTGCATCGTGCACATTACAGATCTGCTTTATGCCAGCTTATTCTATTTTTATGTTCATCCCATGCTGTCCAGTGGGACAGATAATTAGATGCAAAACATTTGCCTGCTTCATAAAATATTAAAGCAATTACAGTTGTAAAGTAGGGCTGTGCGATATTGAAGAAAAATGCGATATGCAATAACTCATTAAATAATGCGATATGCGATACGATAATGCTTAAAGTGCCACATGCTCAGATGAAAGTTACTTTTTTAATTTAATGAACTTTTTCAAAACTAAAAAACAAAAATAAGCACAAACAACTAGGGCTGTGCAAAAAAATCGAATGCGATTTTCATGCTCATCTCGTCAGTAAAGCCGGTTCTGTGATTAGTAGTAAATCTCCAGCACGTGCTTTCAGATGGAGCGGCATTTACTACACAGAGCCGTAGATCACTGACAAGCTACGCAAAATCGCGTTCAAAATCGCAGGCGATTCATTGGCTTGCGTAGCAAATCCAGATGTGTCCACTCAGACTGCAAGAATTTTTATAAGCTCAGAACATTTCGGTAGTAATCAAATTCAGTAGTGTGTTGGTCTTATGCTTGATGCGTTGTTTAGGATCAAAGAGTAAATGCCTCTCAGTGGACAAATGATTGAAGAAATGAAAAGAATAAATAGTTTGTCATCATTCAATCAGACCATTGATGCAATTCCTGTTGCTTAATTTGCAGTGCTGTAAACAAGGGAAGCTTTTTCCACAGGAAACCACAGCCATCAAAGCAGATTCTACAGTCTTTTATGATACTAGTCAGAAAAATCAGAAAATGAACTGTCAGATCTGGAAATATCCCATCTTCCCGTTTGTCAAAGCCCAAGGTGTTTCCATGTTTTTCCTATTCTTTATTTCACTTCATTTCAAGGTCTGTGGTTCACTTGAAATGAGAGCAAGAGTGTTTGCATGTCCTTGACTTAATGGAAGCTCTTTGATGTCTGCCTGAAAGGCTGCATGCTTTTCTTGTGGTATGAATTTGTTTCCTCCACCAAAGCCTTGGATAAATGGAGGACTTTTTTCCCAGAGGTCGTCTCTTGGGTAGAACTTTGAGGGTTAGAGAGCTTGCTTCCCTGGAGTGATAGAGACTCAACATGAATCACAAAAGCAAACATCACACCAATAACAATTATGATGGAGATTCAAGACAAGGAAATGAGTGAAACTCTGGGTCATGACGAACAAGAGTGCTGCTCGTCTGCATGTTTAATATCTCAAGTTGTCTTCAAACTATCTGTCGATATTAAATCAATTTCTCTGAGAAATAAAGATGAAAAAGTTCTATAGGTGACATCTTGTGTGCTGCATATATAATTATTTTTTTATATTTTTAATTTTAATATGGTAAAATAGTTATGTAAAAAAAATTTAAATTTTGTATATAATTTAAATACTTCATTTTAATAATAGGTTAATATAAATAATTATAAAATATATTTTGTTATTAAGTTTGCCCTTTTGTCCTCACATCGAGTTACTTGCAAGTTGGTCTGACTCTGACTCAGAATTGTTTACCCTTGAATCATTTAAATGAGGCTTTCAATGTGCCAGAGGAACCGTGCGCAGCATAAGGAATATTTCACGAGTGTGTTGTCTCACGGTTTGACCCAGCTGATTCGTACCAGATGTTTTTGTTGTTGATGTCCACAGTTTGGATGAGTTTTGATGGACTTAAGCTTTTTTCTTTACCTCTAGGCAGAAAAGTGAGGTGGGGCGTCCTGGGTCAAAGGTCACACAAGCAGAGGATGTCATGCACTTGGCAGTGGTGGCTTGTGGGAACCGTCTAGATGAAACGCTCAACATGGTTAAGTCAGCACTGCTCTTCAGCATAAAGAAGATCAAATTTCACATCTTTGCAGAGGAGGACCTGGCCAAACAATTTGAAAAAGGGGTGCGAGCATGTACCATGATTCTTTTATCTTTGCTGTGGCTAAATGAGCTTTTTAATGTTGATGGTAATGTCTAGTTGACCGGTGACCTAAAATTATCTTTTTTTTTTTTCTTCAAAATGATTTGAGTATCTTTACTTATCTAAAGTTTGTCTTTTATTCTCAGAAAAGCTGTGTAATGGGTAACTCAGTTCCCGGTGAAAATAATATCTTGCTGGCTCTCCAGCTATTTTATCTCTGCAGTGGGCTATATTTTACCTTAGACAAAGCTTCATCCCCTAACTATGCAGCTCTCTTGGACCAAAATGTTGCTTTGTTCATTTGACATTAATTATAGTAATTCTAATCATTATTAGACTGAATGTCTTTTTACATTCTTAGTAACTAGCTATACAATTTCTCATTGTATTTAAACAGACCTTTGATAGAACCCCTAGTGTCAATTTTGTTTTAGTGGCTTTGTGGTAACCCTCAGACAATGTCAGGCTAACCCTGACAACCAATCTGGTGAGGAGGGTAACGTGAGAAACCTTTGCGCATAAATCTATTGATCTCTTAGCATGCACTTAACTCATTATTCAGTTTCTGGTAGAGTGGCCTTTCTCCACAGTCCTAATAGATTCTCTCGACAGAGGGACTGTTATTGAAAATAGCAGTACTTTGTTTTTTTTACACTCAGACAGCCGATGCTTTTTGAGAAGTGCCCTCTGGCCTAGAACTGATCTTGATCTAGTTTTGCACCGTATTGCTGCAGATACAGGAACTGAAGGCTTTGAAGAGCGATAGTGAAGGAATGCAATGTCATTTCAAAAGATTTCTTCAATATTTTTTTTCTGCAGCCTTTTCAGCAGTAGTTATTTGGCTGTCAGCAGGATATTATAAACCAGTACTTAACTGATGGGTTATGACTCAAAAAGGGATTGCAGGTCTGTTCTAATGGGGTCCTGGACAGCTAGGAAAAACATTGCCAACTGAGAATAATAAAGTGCAACCAACTGTATAATCATGTATGGTTAGGATGGAAAAATAAGTTGAATTTATTTTTCAAATACATTTTTTTATATATATATTTATAAGAATTTAATATGTTTTGTTGTTGAAATGCATCTAACAAATTTACACAGTTGAATTTACAAAAAAATACTGTCAAGTTTACAGTCACTTGATATTATGGCTATTATTAATAAAGTAATAATTGTATTAATTGTTGTTATTTATTTACCCAGTTTTTGCTGCATGTGTTGGTGTAATGCATTTTGAAAATGATCAGATTTCTGATTCTGAATAATTTTGCATATTACTTGACTTGTGCAGTTTTTAGTGATATTAATACTTTTTTATAAAAAAAATTTATTATTATTTTTATTTATTTATTTTTTATATTTTTATTTTTTACAAATTTTACTTAGACAAAATAAATGCAAAAATCTCATAAAATATCTACATTTGTTACTTTTTGCAATTTGTCTAAAAAGAAAAATCATACAATTACACACTGGTTTGTGTCAAAGCTGAAAGCAGGGAAAATTGATCTTCAAGATGTTAAAACGTGTCATGTCCTACTTGGTTAGAACAAGGTGTAACAATATGGGTAGACATCTTTGGGACTTACCCATGCAACAATATGGCATTCTATAAATCACAATTCTTACAAACATAACAAAATGTTGCTTTTTGGAAGGATTGGTATAGGTCTCCTCACACTCTTCTCTTCACTGACACCTGTAAGCAATAGATTTGTGGTTTACTGAAGACTGACAGCCATGACATTGACTGAATCTTTCAATTTCCTTTCACAGTTCAGTCAGTGGCCTCAGCCGGTGTCCTCCAGGTTTCACTATAGCATATATCCAATCACCTTCTCTGTGGGGAATGCAGACGAATGGAAGAAACTCTTCAAGCCATGTGCTGCCCAGAGGCTGTTTCTTCCCGTGGGTTCCCGCCGCTGCTTAATGTTCTGTCTTCATTTGTTTGTGCTTTCCACCTCACCACACCAACTGTAACCAAGTATCTCCTCTGATATCAGGTTATCCTGAAAGACGTGGACTCGCTGTTGTACGTGGACACAGATGTTCTCTTTCTTCGCCCTATGGATGACATCTGGAAGTTTCTGAAGGCTTTCAACAGCACTCAGCTAGCTGCCATGGCCCCAGAGCACGAGATCCCCAAGATCGGCTGGTATAGCCGCTTCGCAAGACACCCCTTTTATGGAGTCACAGGGGTCAATTCAGGGGTCATGCTAATGAACCTCACACGGATTCGTAGTACTCTGTTCAGGGTAAGGAACAATAGAATTTACTTGACTTTTTGCAGTTTCTTATACCCAAACTCATATATATATATATATATACAGTGGGTACGGAAAGTATTCAGACCCCCTTAAATTGTTCACTCTTTGTTATATTGCAGCCATTTGCTAAAATCATTTAAGTTAATTTTTTTTCCTCATTAACCTGTATGTTACTGTAGCTTTGCTTATGATGAAATTTCAGAGGTCCAAAATCCTAGTCCACATATTTTAAACTTCAAATACTAGAGACACATGAAATATCAGTACCATTTTCAGCTAATATTAGAGATATTTTTAATTTATCATTATCAACTGATATTTACACTTAAAGTTAATTTAAAAAAATGCTAATTAATAACACTAGCCGGGTTTCCATCCAAAATTGCGAATTTAACTTATGCGCAAAACTGGAATATCGCATAAAACTTTTGCGAACAAGCATCGTTTCCATCCAACAAGTCAAAGAGAACAAAATCGTCACTTCCTGATAAACTGGCACTATAAATCACTAAGAAAAGTAGGAGAATATAATAATTTTCATATATAGCGCCTCAGAGCGAGCAGACGAAACGCAATGAATGCGTGTCCTGACATTTTATCCTACCCGTCAGATACGGACGTGGATGCTGCTGTTTGGGAACGCAGTCGTGTAAGACATTTCTGGGAGGCAATTATGGAGAAATACTTTGATGACAGACTTTGCTCATGCATTTCCGAATGACCATAACAACATTTTAGATGCTGTGGAATGAGATCGGTCTGCTGGTTAGTCAGGTTTTGCCGTCCCATAGCGCAAAGTCACATTACTTTTTTGATGCGCTTGGAGGAATTTATTCGCAAAATGCATTTCCATCTCCCATTATTCGCATCAACCCTTTTTCGCACAAGTCAAAAACCACTTCAAGCGAGCGTAAAAACTTTTTTGCGAATTAAGGGATTTTTATTCGAAATTTGGCGTTTCCATCACTCGTTTCTCATGCGGTACTTCAAAATGCGCATTAAAATAGGGTGATGGAAACATAGCTAATGTGAAATATAATGTAGCAAATCTCAAAATAAAGATCTATTTTTATACAATACCTCAGAATGTTGTTCTAACAAATGACTGATAAAATTACTGATTTTAGTTTTAGTTTAGTTTTGTGCTTTATTTTTAACTTATTTTTTCATTTCATTTCATCATTTATTGGTTTTATAACTTGAAAATAATTAGCAGCAGTATTAGCTAGAATTTTAGTATTGATCATGCATCTCTATTAAATAAATTGTTATTTATACATATAAAAAACAGAAAATATTTTTTGTAAATATTTTAGATTTAATATCTTTTTGCATTATATATGGTGCTTGGTTATTACTAGATATTGCCAGTGTTTTCCTTGTGTGGTTTATTTCTCTTGATAGTGGGCTGAGGCTTTGGCGTTCACGTGTCTTCTGAGGTTTCTTTGCACATTTAAATCCTTTTAACCTCAGGCTGTTTTCAGTAGGCAGTGATATCATGGAAGTCTACTGATTGCCATCCATCGAGTGCGAGTGGGTGACAGCAGTCTGGATTAGCATATTTCTGTAACTCAGCTAGAAGTGTTATTTCCAACCCAAGCACATTTTCAAGGCTGTCTGGGAAGACAAAAAGGAAATTTCTTCTTCTGAAAAACACCTCAATTTCCATATCAACAGCTGTCTGAAAAGTGGCTGCCAGACTCACTGTTGAGGAAAATAACCTGTCACTATTGATTTTACAGAACAGCATGATCGCCAGCGGTCTTTCGTGGGAAAATCTGCTTCACCCTCTCTATCAGAAATACAAGAACCACATCACATGGGGAGACCAAGACCTCCTCAACATCATCTTCCACTACAATCCAGGTACATGTGTGTTTGCTCAAAGACATGCTTGAATATGATGTGTGATTTCACAACACTAGCAAAAAAGAACTATGGTTATGCAGTGGGTTTTCTGGACACGTACCATGGTATTTTTTGAAGTACCATTGAGCATGCTGTAAATACAATGGTATATATCATGTTTTAGTGTGTTTTTTGGACATGTACTATTAATACCATGTATTTGGACGTGTGCCATGGTAATACATAAGAATATTAGAGGTCGACTGATAGTGGATTTGACCGATACCGATACCAATAGCTAGGTTGGACCACACTGGCCAATACAGATTAATCAAACGATAGTTTTTAAGATACTGAATGAAAACTAAAATAGTGCTTTACTATTTAATAATAATAATAAAAAAAACCTGAACCATACTTTGTAAATGAATAAAAATATTAATATTAACACCTTGGTTTTAGCATGTTTTTTTGGGGCGTGTTATGTTTATACCATGTTTTTTGGACTTTTTCCATGGTATTTTTTTAAATGCCTTGGCATATCCTGTAAATAATACATGATGTACATCATAATAACATCATAATACTTGTACTATATTAATACCATGTTTTTGGCCATGTGCCATGGCAATACAATGGGTTTTCCTTGAAGGACATTGGGGCATTGTGTAAATACTGCCATGGTATATATCTAAATACTTTGGTTTTACAATGGTTTTGGACATGTACCATGACAATGCTGTGATCGAAAGGACTTTGTACATACTGTGGTAAATATCAAAATACCTAGTATTATCATGTTTTTGCACATGTAACATGGTGGTGGTTATATGAAAGTATCATGATAATACCATTTGATACCATCAGTGTATCTTACCCATTTCTTACCCAAAAGTAAGATAAGTTTTTCAGTGCATCTTTGAAACTGGCATAGAAACCTGTCTCCTTTCTTTATTTTTGTTGCACTCTAGAGTGTTACAGCACTAGTTTAATTATGTTTTTGCTGGAGGCTTAAATCCAATTTGAAAAGCTGTTTTACTTATTTGACTTGTGAAGCCCTGCAGCTTTGTATCACGTACATCTCAACTAAAATGTCCAACTGTGATTGTTATTTCTAGTGCAGAGCTGGAAGCCAGGTGCTATGTCTTTCCATTTGTACTCAAAAAGAAAATCAAAAAGATATGACACGAGAGAGGTTTTTTTTCTTTAGTTCTTTCTTTCATCGCCCTCCTGAAAGTTGCTATTTTATCTGGTTTTATAGAGATAAGGCCCTTTTGTGTAGGTAAATACTACTGGAACAGGTGTGACAAAGACTGATGGGTGCAGTTATTAAAGAGTTAGTTCACCCAAAAATGAAAATTCTGTCATTAATTACTCACCCTCATGTCGTTTCAAACCTGTAAAATCTGAACAGCGTATCCGTGCGTATCCAGCGTATCCGTGCGTCCAAAATGGCATCAGGGTGATGCGGAGGAGACGAATTGTTGAATAAAGTTTTTTTTTTTTTCTCTCTCTTTTGCACACAAAGTATTCTCGTAGCTTCGTATAATTGCGGTTGAACCACTGATGTCACATGGATTATTTTACTGATCTCCTTGCTAC